CGGTTTTCTAAACTTTAATAATTTAGACAAGGTCAAGAATGAAAGTTATTGGAAAGTTAAATTGTCAACTCAAAAGACTTAAAAAAAAAACATAAGTAATGGAGCAGTAAACCTGGAGCATAGCAGACTCTCTTTCAAGTCCAACCTCACACTTTTCTGCTTTTGTACGTACTAGTTATAGTAGTTATTCTTTTCTGATTCTCGTAATGAGACTAATCAGAACATGGGCGGAAGAAGAACCAAATTCAAATTTTGGTTAGAGACTCGTGCTGATAACATATTACGAAACTTAGCTCAAAGTAATAATATGAAACAAGCAAATAGACAAGAATGTAGGGAGCAAGGGAGGAAAGATTCTTATTTCTTTCATATATTCAAGTGTATACAATGTGGTGCCAAAACCCTCTATTTATAGGATTACGTAGAGGCATACAAAATGATGCCATAAACATGACATTAAACATTTGAGATCATGGAGGAAGATCATGGAGGTGTGGGAGTTACATCCATAATGGTAAGAAGTTGTGGGAGGTTAATGGAGAAGAGTAGTGGGTGTTACTCCCTTAGGAGTTATGGACATCCACCATAATCAAATATTTCATAACAATTAACCACTTTGCATCTCAAACAAGTTAGAAAAATAGACTTTACATAAATATATATATATATATATATATATATATATATATATATGATTTTTAAATGTAAAAAAGAATTAAGACCTCTAAATAATGTTTGGCTTTAGGCCCCCAAATGTATTAAGCCGCCCTCAACAGCTCAAATCTAAAAAAAAGATATTTTCTTAGAAGAAAAAGTGGTTTGGGCTTCCCTGAAGTTTGGCCAAACATTAGTTGTGGACCAATAAAAAACGAGTTCCTCAAATGGTACTATAAACCCATTGCAAGAACAAGTCAACGCAGAAATTCCAGCATTACTAACGCGAATTAAAAACGAAAAATAAAATAAAATATATCGATAAAACTTTGAAGCGAAGGAGAGAAGTGAAGCGCTGAATTAATGAGAAATCTAAAGTCAACATAATAGTTTATCACTATAACAATTACTTTTCAATTAAAAAACAAAAAATTCAAGTTTTGGTAGTTTGCATATTACCATCAGCAAGTATAAGAGCTATCTTTCTCTCGATTACGCTTCCATTTTCTTTTGCTAATCCAAGACCAAGAGATATCGGCTAAACAAAGAAAAATGGCCATAAATGTATTGCTATGGCATTCTAGAAATAAAAGCAATGACAGATTGATGTGAAGGAATACCACAATAATGCATGTGGTTGTATTTGGGGCGGGTAGAATTCAATTCGGACTGAGGTTCCACGTGGCCCAATGAAATGATGCCATCACATTAAAAAAGAGCTCACAAAATATTCCGTTAGTTGCCCTCATTTATGGACCAAAAATTGAATGGAGCATAAAAGTAAACCATTTATCAAATGATAGGGATATTTAAGCTCTTTTCAGTCAAAATTTTGATCCTCCAATTTCAATTACGGCAAAAGGTCAAATATACTCCTCTACTTTTGAAAATGGTCTAAAATAGCCTTCGTTATACTATTAGGTTATCTATACCCCTATCGTCATAATTTGGAACAAAAATACCCTTATTTTGGATGAAGTGCCACGTGGCAGCACCAAATTAAAACGACCCATCTCTTTTTTATCCGGTCTGTTTAAAAAAAACCCACCATCCGACCCAAATTTCATCTCACTTAAGCGTGAAAAAAAAACCACCACCCGAGTTATGCTCCAACAAACAATGAAAGGTGTAAAAATGAAATATTTGTTTCTGGTCCAATGTATCCTTTTCACGCATAAAAGGCTAGCATCTATGAAAGGTGTAAAAATGTCTATTATTATACATTACTGCGAGGGAAATATCTGGACATTTACTTACTGGCACGTTGTGTTTATATTAATCAATAGATATATGATATGTAATTGTAACATCTACATAAACTTTTCTCACTTAGCTATGGATTTACCGATATTGGTATTTACACCAAATCAATATATATATGATATGGGATTGCACATACACTTTTCTTACTTAGCTATTATATATTATTACCTCATTAAATCACTTAATCATGATAAGTTTGTATGATTTGGTATAAATATCGACTGCGAGAAAGTTTTTATGTGTATCGCAGTTATAAGAAAACATAGCCCATTACAAAATTGGACTCCCTATGAATCATTCTCAAGAAACAACGCTACTGAATTTGTTGGAGCAGAACTCGGGTGGTGGGCTTTTTTCACGCTTAAGTGGGGTGAAATTTGGGTTGGGTGGTAAGTTTTTTTAAACGGATTGGGTAAAAAAATAAATGGGTCATTTTAATTTGGTGCTGCCACGTGACACTTCGGCAGACAATAGTATAACAAGGGATATTCTTAGACCATTTTCGAAAGTATAGGGCTAAAGATAAGTTCGAGTGTTTCAACAATCCCGCTCTAAAATTGGATCTGAGCAGTAGCTAAATTGATGTAAAATACTTGTTCTCATTATGTTTGGTATCTAATGCTTAGTCCATGTACCATAAAAAACAAGTTGACGCAAATGGTACTGTTAACACGTAGCAAAAACAAGTCGACACATAATTCCAGTGTTATTGAAGGTAAAGACGAAAAAAAAAAAAAAATACTATACAATATTGATAGGACATGAAGTAAAAAGCTAGAAGTGAAGCGCTCAATTCATAAAACATTAAAATATATGCATCCAACATACAATAGTATCAATGTTAATCAAACTCCTAATGTTAGATTTAACGAATTGCGCGTCATTAATTAGAGACGCATGGCTTCACCCATCAATAGCTTCCGTCTAGCACTCTATTGTTGCAATGCCTGCCATAATAATGAGATTTAAGAGATCAAAAATAACATGTGCTTTCAAACATAATATCATTAACATAATGACAAGATGAGTGTAAGCAAGAATTCTTGAAGCTGATTAATTGAAATATAAGAGCAGAAAACTCATGAATGAAAAGTCTCCATTTTGGTGCTATTTTTTCCTTGAGAGGCTGATCTTCTCTAATTTCCACAAGTTTGTCAAACAGAAGTAACTAATCAATCTAATTGAATTAAGAATCATAGTTAGACGCAGGGTAAATTTCGCCCTTAAGCCCTAAATCAGTACTATTTCGCAATCTGATATATTGATGCAGAATTCTGCAGCGATTACCTCAAAGTCATAGGCCGTAAGAATAGATTATAATCACAATGCGGGGGCCGATCTATAGTTTAACAGATTAAGTTCAACCAACCCAGTAGATTTGGCTCACACACTATATATATGTGTTAAGAATTCACTAGCTATACAAATAATATGTTCGAAACCCAAAAAATCGAATGAACTATGGGTTCAAAAAATTGTGAAGTTAACTTGGTATTATCTTGTTGTGATCAGAGTCTATTGAGAAGAGAAAAGCCTTAGGCTTTGTTATGCTCTGTTCTATAATCTCAACGACACCTTTTGGAAATTTGTCTTGTGTTTTGGATTTTAGAAAGAAAGTTTTAAATAAAAGGTTTCAGGGATCCGGTCAGTTCTTTTCGCAGTTTTTATGGTCTGCTAGTTGGGCTTTTGTGGGCTGTTTTTTTGGGCTATTGGGCTGCTTGGTTTTGAAAGGAAAAAAAAGGCCCTTCAGATGCAAGTAGCATATAGTCTAAGCCCATTAACATAAATAGCCGGGAGAAATTTGGAATTAGCCTGATTTACAATTGCTAACACAATTAATCGAAATTTAGCCACTTTTTCATGCGAAAATAAAATTTGAATCAAAATACCCTTAGTTATAATCCGGGAAAATTCCGGCATGATATGTTGGAATCCGAACTTTTTACATATGAAATTCAAGCATAATGTATGAAATTCATAATGCTGAAGTTGTATATGCATGAGTTCTAGAATCCAACATATTATGCTGATTTTTTTTTTCATATTTCAGTTAAGAGTATTTTTGTCTAGATTTTATATCCACATTAAATAGTTGTTGTTTTTCAATTACGTTGGGAATACTGCTTCTCTCAATTACCAATGTAAAAAACGGTCAGCCCATGCTATTTTGACTAAATAGCCGCCCACCAAACCAACAACAACAATAACTACCCAGTAGAATCTCACATAGTGGGGTCTAGGGAGGGTAATGTGTACACAGACCTTACCCCTGTCCCGGTAGGGGCAGAGAGGTTGTTTCCGATAGACCCTCGACTCAGGAAGACGAAAATAAAGTAAGAAAAAAAACAAGAGGAGAGAATTCATTAGTAACTCCAGTAGAAATTGTTATAGTAACAGAAACATAAAAACCGAAAGATGAATGACATGCAATAACAGTAACCATAATCTAAGGCCCGGGGCTAAGACAAACAACAGGAATAGTGTGGGTCCCACATAAACTGTAAGCCATCTAAGGCCAATCCTAATCCAACCCCGCCTCGCCCCCGGAATGAAGTAAGGAAAGCCTTACTCCCCCTATCCTACAACCCTAATGCTTGACCTCCGCCCACCAAACCACTTAAACTAAAAATAGTCGAATGATGTACAATAATGTATAATATGTGTATAACCATGTATAATCTATGTATACCGATTAGGAAATATAAACAGCAACTAGCTATTTATGTATATATTCCATTATTCCTATTTCTTTCCTTTTTTTTTCTCTTTCCCTTTTATTTTATATTTTGGAATACTTTTCACAAACCTCTATGAGATTTCGATTGGTAACATATACCTCTATTGTGGCTCCAAATATTACAAAAATTTACTTCGATCATATTTAGCATAATAGCTGTAACTGAAAAATGGGCAAATTTGACCCTTATGAAAAATGGGCAAATTGTAATTAATTTGGTAGGAGAATGATCATTTTCAGTACGAATAGCCTAAACAGTACAATTTATTGGATCATAATTGGAAAAAGAAAAGAAATAATGAAGATAGTAATATCATGCATTGGGTTGAGTTAATAAGTTGTCAAATATCAAGAACTGAGTTATTTTGTATTATCTGTCATCATAGAAAACAAATTCATATACAATACATTGGTTGATCAAAATTTCTTTTTCCAGAACATATTGACATGAACATGGCAAATACAGGAGAGTATATTCTTTTCTTACAGGGGCTCTATTTCTTCTTTGAAGCTGCTTTCCTTTTGCCGGTTGTCTTCTTTGTTGACTTTTTAAACCCAGCTCCAGTCTCCTGCGAAAGGAGAAAATACAGGATATGATTTCATCAGATGATTGTGTATGTATAGGATCCACAAAATGTTGGCCATAACTATCTATTTTCAACTAATATCAAGTCTAAATCATTGGGTAGGCAAGCCAATCCCCAGAAAGAGTACTTCATGTGATTAAAGATGACCGGGCTAATTTGGTTTAATCACATGATAAGCAAACAAAAAAATACAGAAAGATATTCAAACTATCGAACTTTATCAATCACAACATATCAAGCCATAAAGACGTTGACACAAAAAGAGAACAAAGAGTGCAGTGTTCACATCCATTACTAACTGTAGCAATGAAGAAAATAGAGAAACATTTACCTTTCTGTAACATCTATATGCACTTTGACCAGAAAACTCCTGCCCATTTTTGGCGACATAAACCTGATAAAGAGCAGTAGATCAACTCTTTGATTAATGTACAGAAGATAGAATGTCATGAATCAAGTCTAAAATAACACCAAAGAGATTTGATGAATGTCATGAATCAATCCTAAAAGTACAAGCAGATTCCATGAAACTACACAAACACACAAATGTCTAACAAGTATTCCAAGTTGCAGGAGAATGGGATAAAATTTAGTGATTTACCCACTGACATCCATATCCCAACCATGGTTAGATAGACATCAAGCATACTAATCTAGTACAAACTCTATCCAAATTTCAGCAGCAACCAACATCTATAAGTACATCTTCTTGAATTTGTTAAGATCGTCAATGACTATTTAACCCAAAAAAATTCAACAAGTACATCTATGACCTGCTTTTAACAATTGAATCAAATATCAACTTACTTTCTTTCCATCTCCAGTTGTGTACCAATGACCCGCTGATTTGCCAACTGCCTGGACCCTTCTTCTGCCGGCATCTTTTGGAATCCCAGCAGAGCTTTTAGGGTTCACCCATCTCTCGGATCCTTGTGATTCCTCCACAGAATTTGGTTGTTTCACATTCTTTCTGCTCTTTCTAGAGTTTGTCGCTACAGCGCCATTCTTAGAAGTCTTTTTAGAGCCTCCTTCGTGACAAAATTGCCCCCTGAAGACAACATGCACATAGATCTTTGGAATAAGTCATATAATTCATGACAAAAAAACTAACACAGAAGCAAGAAGCAAATGTGTTACATGTAATCTATAACTGATGCATCATCTTGCTTTTGTCCAGGAATGTTCTCAGCACCCAAAGGAAAAAAGTTAGGCAAACGATCACGAACTAGCTTCTGGATTCTTGGATCTTTATGGAAAAAGTAACAGTGAGCAGGGAGAAGGGGCCCCTGAGGTCGCACGCTACTTTCAGTTAAACCACTGTTAATAGTCTGCGTGTTTTTTCCATGTTTTACTGATTTGAAATATTCTTCACAAACCTCATCAAGAGCAGGTGTAGAAATATTAAAGGTCTTATCTGAACAGAAGTCTTCCCACAGATCTCTAGTTTTTAACTTTCCAGCAGAAAGTCCTGCATTTCTCTGGCAACTTGAATCTGCACCAGTATTGTGTGGATTACCGTTCAAAGGAGAATTTACATGTTCTGATTCTTTTTCCATGACTTCACTTTTAGAAGGCTCATCAGAATCAGAGTCAATCAACTGGAACCTTCTCAGTGGACTAACAGTTAGCTCTGGGAAGACGAAATTGCTAGTGCTAGTTTCCATACTCTGGGAAATGGAAGAAACATTTGAAACCTCATTCTTCCTTCCTGTGCATCTGCTTGCAGATTGCGAGGATAATACCCTTCGCCCCTGTAACGGGATTTTGGAACTGCTACACACAGAACTGTACTGCTTTGGATGATCTGATGCGAACAATATTAAAAATGCATGAGGGTTATTAATAAATTTTCATACAGATTTATAACAAATTGCAGAAACGTTTATCTGCAGTCTGACAGACCTGGAGATCTTGCTACTACATAGTTTTACTTCAGTACACAGAGTATTATCATAAACAACCAATACTCCTAGCAAGAAGATAACGAGGATGGCGCATCTTTCAGATCATATAACTTAAGATCATACGGCTCAACAGAATGTCCACCAATACACACAAATTTTGATTCTAGTACATAGTAAGGCCAATGACCACACATTTTCCTTGTGCAAAAAACTCAATTGCAAACTGGTTAAGCTCAACTATATGAATCTTTGATATCCATTTCATTATACTAGGACTGAATTCATTCCAATACTAAATAATTTGTCTTTTAAAACAAAATATAAGTTCTCCCTGCACCCAAGGGAATGAAAACCATGGGAACAGACTACAAAGTTTAAGGCCCCGTTTGGCCATACATCTTCGCAATGTTTTTTCAAATTTTTTTTGAAAACATTGTTTGTTCATAGATTAATGATCTATTTTTGAAAAATTTCTGAAATTATTTTTCAAGTTCCCAAAATCTAGTTTAGGGTAGATTTTGGGTGAAACTTGTTCTCCCACTCACAAAACTTCAAATTTTTTTCAAATAAAATGCATGTCCAAACATAATTTCAACTTCCAAAAATTATTTTTCAAAACTACTTCAAAAATTATTTTTTCAAGTTTCAACTAAATCTATATCCAAAGGCTAGCTAAATCCCAACATAGACAAAAGTAAATTAGGTAGACAAAAATAATAAGGTAGCTTCTCCATGTCTATATCATCCTTGTGGGACCAAGTATCCTATTCTCTCTATTGGTGTGAGGCTGCAAGTACTCTGACTGAATAGTTGAGATGCATACAAGTTGGCCCAAAAACCACCATAAAAGAACAAAATTTGCACACTTAACCCTCAATGATATGCAGTCTCTGACTCACCAAAGAGACTCCTAACATATGTGCAACAACAATTACTTTTTTTATAACAATGGTGTCCGAACCAGCTTGCACACACCTCGACTAATTCCACCAGGTACCTGCTACCTCCCACCAATACAAGTACCAAGTAATTATGTCCACCAAGGCTTAAGGCCTTAAACAACAATTAATACCTAACCCCGACTAATTTGTTAGTATATAGGTTTACTTTCATTATGTAATGTTCCAATCCCGCATTTATTATGTTTGAAATAACTTCCATCCAAGTGATTTTGGTTTATCTCACTTTTTTTAACACATTCAATTATAACAGTGTTGCACATACAGACCACTACATTTGTATTGTAAAAGGATCTTAACAAAACTTCTAGTGCAAGTTTTGATTTTTTAAGCAAGCTTAAACTCGGAATCTTGTTTTCACAATAGCACATTATTGAAATACAAGGGTCTTACATTCATCCATTTCACTCAACTGCCCAATAGGGGCGAATCTAATGTAGAAGTTGGGGTTCTGATATAACCCAGTAGCTTTGGCACAGATATTTTTGTTAGGAATCCACTAAATATGTATAAATAATCTATCCGCAACCTAAATTCAGAACTCTTAAAATGGATCCACCTTTGCCTCCTAAGCTACTTCATAACTTTTCAAGTACAAAATTAAGCCTTATTATTCAACTTTGTTCTGGTGATACATAAACTAGAAATATGATATTCAAGCTTAACATATTTACAAGTCCCAGTTAATAAATGAAAAAAAAAAGCCTTTTCGCTACTAATAGACTACCCCAAAATCAACCTCTATATTTTGTGTAGCTCAAATTGACAGAGTTGTAACAGAAACACAAGTAAATTAAGGAAATAAAACACCAAAAGGTAAAAAGCTAGCTAAAGACAAAACCCTAAAAAAGGTGGAGTATTTTACCCTTGGGCTCATCATCCTGAGAAGAGAAATCTTCAATATCATCGTCCACACTACACCAAGCATCTCCTAGCTTCCTTTTTAGGGTCGTCGGTTCGGATTTGGAAATGAGCCCACGCCGGAGGCGTTTGAGAGATCTAGGTGGATCTGAATCTTCCGTGTCCTCAGCAATTGTGGGGGTTTCAATATCATCAGCTTCTTGGATTGTCGGTAATACAGTGGGCTGGGGCTCTGAATCAATGTCGAAATCAAGCCCTAGAGAGAAAGATGGAGGTTCGAAATCTGCCATTGAAAGATGAATTGAGGGAAATTTTTGAGGGGTTGTATATTTGAAATATGAATTGGAGGGATTTGCAAATGAAATTATGGTGAAATTTCTTTGGTTTTTGCGCCAAATTTTGAGACCAGAAATAGACTTTTCGCGCTTTTGGGCCTCGGGTTGCTGGAGGATTATGCCCACGGCCCACCTATGTTGTTTTCTCCAGTTTTATCATTTATGAGCAAGCATTTGCACTGTTTTTTATTTTTAATAATTCTAATTTAAGAAAATACTATTTTAGAGTAAAGTTTTTACTATGTAAGTTTTATTTATTTTAAAAAGTTTGAGTGCAGGAGTGAAAATAAAAAATTAAATAATTCTTCATAAAGTTTAGATCGGGAATGAAATAAGTAAATATATTAGTATACAACTCTCCTTATGCTACTTGATGCTAACTTTATATGGATGAAAAATGAGTTCATTATCTATCGTGCTTCTCCAAGTGGCGTTTGTTTCTGAAAAATTAAGAAGCATTATCTTGGAAAAAAACTTGACCCGTTTCTCAACTAATTATTAAAAATAGAAGTTTTTTTTAGTAATTAATTAATTAATTTTTCAGTTTATTTGTATAGTATGTAAGAAAATGCGGACAATATATATGTGAACCACGAGAGCAACTATAAAAGAATTAAAATCTTAAAGATGATGTGCTCCAACAATATGTTCAATTGGTTAAAAATAATCTCAATCTTGATTTTTTTAATAGATAATGTGGATTATTACAAGATAAATCACAGCGAATAGCTTACTTAACAACTTATTTTACTCTCCAATTTCAGTTTTTCTTTTTCCATTTTATATGTAAGAGCTTGCAATTTCATTCTGTTCCAATCTAATTATGGACGTCTCATATTTGCAAGTATCGAACTATTCTTAAAGTTTTCTGCTAAAACATTATTCTTAGCTAGCGTTTGGCCATAAATCCCAAATTTATTTTGAAAAATCTGATTTGGGTGAAGCTTGATTTGAAGATGAAAATGTGTTTGGACATACGTTTTCAAAACATATTTTCCAACTTTATTTTGGAAAAACATGTATATAATTCCCAAGTTCTGGAATTTTGGCCCAGCTGATTTTGAGATTTGGGATTTGGGGTTTGGCTAAAATGTGGGCAAAATTTATGACCAAACATGAATTTTGAAAATAAATTCATGGCCAAACGGAGCCTTAATATTTGGGATTGAATTAAATATCGTACGGGAATAGTTGGACCGTGTGCTATCCATATGCCATATCTATCCTCATTAACAATAAATCATGGGAAATGATAGAGCTTAATTAATCCACCATGTAAGGCCTCTGAGTTAACAAAATTGCCACTAAATTATTTTCTGACCTGCGAGTGAAAGTGATTCAAATCCAAGGATGGTATGTTGTACTGTAACATTTAATCGGGTCACACACGGAACTCGATATGCTCTATTAACCGAATTTTGAATGGATTTATTTAGTGACTTTTTGTGGTCTTTCTTCATGTTCTCTATACGATTTTTGCACATACATGTGAACAATTGTTCAAATGCCTCTATTGAGAGTTTTAGCGTGAACATACATAGAGTTGTTGCCATGTGTTTGATGATATGCCTGAAACAACTTAACAGTTATTTATGTTGCTTGTTTACCTCTTACATGTAGTTGATATATTTGCTTATTGGAAGGATTTATCTTTAAATTGGTACTTTAAGTTGTAAAATTACATGATTTCATCATCTAATATAATTTTTCTTGAATTTTCCTCTATTTTCTCATCCATGCATGTTTTTCAATTTAAATTAATGATATTCCCTTTGAATCTTATTTTTTTGGCAGTTGGATATGAGCTACTATTTCTAAAAATAAAATAAAATTATGTACTTTGTAATGATTATGGATTCGCCTTTGAGTTTAAATAGTCTTCCCATCATTTTTGTTATTGTTTCTTGTATTGAAATTTTAATTGATGAGAGATTTTCTTATGTAATAATTCTTGGATTTTGCAGCTTGAAGATGCGGAAATTATTTTTATTGGAAAATTCTATTGATATTACAGCGGTGAGCAGTATCCCTTTCCTAAGGTTCCTTCATTGTGGAGTTTGTACAGCTTCCTGGTGGATGCTCCACATCATACTACGATACATTTAAAAACGTCCATCTTTATCATAATAAAAACTATTTTATCTGAACGATTTTCTATCATTCGCTTTCACTCATTGGAGATTTACTAAGGGTCAGTCCATTATGGAGTTATATGCATTTACTTTGTAGTATATTCATTCCATTTGGTTGTTAGTTATAATATATGTGATGGTCTGTATAGTAGAATTACTTGGTACTGCTGCTGGTGGTCGGAGATAGGAGGTACCTGATGGAATAGTTGAGGAGCGGTCAAGCTGGCTCGGACACCACTCCGATATCACGCAGGTCCACTCCAAGTTAAACTTAGCCAATTCTAAAACCTTCAAAATGCCATCTTCCGACAATAAGTGCTGAATCACTCTCGGACCGCCTGAGACTCGACCAGAACATACACCAAAGTTCAAAAGTATCATACAAACTTATTGGAACTTCTAAATCCCGATTCCAAGATCGTTTACTCAAATTGTTGACTTCAGTCAAACTTGACCACCTTAGGCTACTACCAAGGAACTAAGTGTTCCGAATTTAACCCGAACCTTTTCTGAACCAAATCAACTGCCCCTACAAGTCATAAAATAGGAAAGCACATACATGAAGTTTCAAATAGGGGAACGAGGTTGCAGATAGTAAAACGACCGGTCGAGTTGTTACATATTACAAGTAGAAGATATTACTCTTGTTTGGTACAAGAGATAAAGACAATAATCCCGGGATAGAATTTGAGATTGTATTTATCCCATATTTAGTTATAGATATTAGATAATTTGCGGATAAATTTTACACTAAAATGATGGGATTTATATCCCACTCTATGGAATATCCCGCCATGGTACGAAGCGGCCCCTTAAATCAAGATATACTCATTAGATTTAAAAAGAAACTTAATTTTATGCCAAATGCATAGGCATAATTAATGAACAATGTTAATAGTAAAGAGATTAAATGGATTAGAAGAAGTCAATTATGCCAATAAGTTACTAAAAACTATGCATATCAAAAATTTTGAGAAATATTCTTCAAATAAAAATATTAATTTTTTTAAGGCCTTTCATCATTGACTTTAAGCCACCTACGTTGTTAAGCCGGCCCTGATATTATTCAAGATAACATATTGAGTTAATGTATATTTCAGTTCAAGAAAAGTAGCAATTAGTTTAATATTGTAGTAATTCATGAAAGTTCGGTAGTTTATATGTGTGGTTAAGTGGTATGCCTATTTCAGTGGAATTTGGAAGATTAATTTTAGATTAAAGTTATTCTCTTTCCTTTTTTGTTTTTGCTTATTTTTAAGAATTATTAAATAACTTTCATATTTCAATGGAATTGAGCGATGGAATATATTTATTTAGTTGCCACATATAAAAAATTAATGCTGCTAGGTTTCTGAATATTTTCTTAAATATTGCTTATTTATATTTTTTTCCTTATAAAAAGGAGAAATTTATGCAAAATACCCATTAAGTTTAAACTAATTATCCTTCTCTACCAATCTGAAAGCTAGTTACAATATATACCTACCCAATTAAAACTAACTACCCAACCTACCTACCCACCGTGGCGGATCTAGAATTTTCATCCAGGGGTTTCAAAATATAAATAATTAGATACATCGAAAAGTCGAGGGGAGTCAACGTATAGTAAATATACATAAAATAAAATAATTTATCTAGCAAAATAGTATAATTTTTCGACGAAGTGGTGTCGCTTGACACCCCTTGCTTCAATGCAGCTTCGCCACCGCCTACCCACCCCACTTTTCCTACCCATTTGGCTTAACGTAGCTTGATTTAGCTTGAATTGCTTTGGTTTGGATGCATGGCTTGGGTTAGCATGAATTGGCTTGGTTTTAGTAGCTTAGTACTTTATTTTGGTTGGGAGGACTGGGCATTAAATAAAATGGGTAGGGGAAAAACTTTACGGGTAGGGCAGGTAAATAGCTGGTGGGTGGGTATTTGCAAAGGGTCCCCTATAAAAAGATGTGGGGAGGCCCACATGGGGCTTTTGTATCTATACCCGGTTTGGGGTAACAATTGAAGCTATATCCACTTTGCGAAAAATTTGCAAGCCTAGCCACTTTACGATCAACTTTAGACTTATCGGGTCTGAAGTTAAAAAAATAAAAGTCTGAATGCAATGCACTTAAGGCCAAATAGATCTGAATGCAATAAATATTTTCATGCACTTAAGGTTAGAGAGGTCTGAAGTGAAAAAATTACACTTCAGATGCACTTAAGGCCAAATATGTTTGAAGTGCAACCAATGGTTTCATGCACTTAAGGCCAAATAAGTCTTAAGTGAAAAAATTGCACTTCAAATGTACTTTAGGCCAAATATGTCTAAAGTACAACCAATGGTTTCACGCACTTAAGGCCAATAAGTCTGAAGTGAAAACATTGCACTTCAGGTGCACTTAAAGCCAAATAGGTCTGAAGTACAACTTACGTTTTCATGCACTTAAGGCTAAATCGGGCTGAAGTGCAAATTGCCTAGAATCATAAATTTGTTCTTCGAATTTTAATAATCCAATATACGATTTAACACCTAAATCTACTCCAAATGAGCTCAAATTTGCAATATAACCTCCAAAAATCATCAAGAACAAAACTCAATCATCAATTTGTAAAAAAAATAACAATAAATCTAATGAATCCATTTTGCAATTAAGAAAAAGAAGAAACCCTAAGCAATAGTAAAAAATAAAGCACCACATCAATTCACCACTGTAGAACATCATAAACTGCCTTAAAATATGTTCACAAACACCATATAAAATCACTGTCACCCGAAGAAGAAGAAGAAATGACTTAAGCTGTTTAAACTTTAGGTATTACTTAAAATATTTTAAAAAATGTGTAAAGGTTAAATGGGGGCGACAAAATAGGGAGCTCTGTACCATTTTTACGGCCACATGCACACTTGCATCTGAAGGGCCTAAGAACCAAGCGTCCCAAAGACTCGACAAACGAGCTCAAAGAATAAAACAGTTAACCACCCTAAATGTTTAAACAAATAGCCATCTATATTTAATGTTTATCTTTTTAGCGATATATACAATAATACATATATAATATATAAATTATACATATATTATACGGCTCACAGCTATTTTTAGTTTAACCAGTAGGGTGAAGGGCTATTTGGGGACCTGTCTTTGTTACTACCTTTTATTATTGTAAAGATTTTTCCTTTATTATTTAAGCACTGTTTGGATTAGAGAATGGAACATAGAACCTACGAATTTCTCTTCTCCGACCTCAGACCTGTATTGGTCTAAATTTGGCGACTTGGTAGTAAGTAGATAAACGGGACCAAGGACGGGGTCGACGTCGGTGTACTACCCAAAAGTCGTTCTAGAGAGGGCTGATGTCAAGGACGAGCAACTGAAGTGAATGAATAACGGTAGAATAGGTTCAGATATGGACACACGAAATATTCCTTTGGATATTCCTTGTTTTGTACTTTTTAGGGTATCTGGAAAATATCCCTTATAAATAGGAAGAGATAGAGAACAAATGGGGGGATCTTCACTTTTTGAGAATAACACATTGTGAAAGGTTGACTTTGAGAGAATATACAAAAGTTGTCTTTTTCATTGATTATCTTATCCAAGCAGATGTTATTTATTCTTTGTTCACAAGATCCTAAGATTCATTAACCATCTTTACTTCTCTTCTTTCCACGTCATTATCAGGACCAAAAACCATCCAAGTCTTACAATAATTGGGTGGTAGATTCTTTCTTATTATCTTCATTGCCATTATCTACATTTATTGCATATTTATGTTATCGCATTTATGAGCATTTATTGAGTGTGAACATACTGATTAACGTTGTTCATCTCATCGACTTCACATAATATTTGGTCTAGTTTTATTATTTTTTAACTAAGATTTATCCTTCATCTCATCATTAATTGGTTTAACTAAAAGGCTCAACACTTTTTGGTGAAACAATTTGGCTCCATTTGTGGGGAGTTTTTTAGTTAAAATTTTAGTTTCTTCTAGATCCTAAAAAAGGGACAACCATCTTTTCCTCGTTTGCGCAAACTAACAATGGCAGGAAAATGTCACGACCCGGATTTTCCACCCTCAGGAGTCGTGATGGTGCCTACTAGTGAAAGCTAGGCAAGCCGACCTTTTGGACAAATTACCTTTTTCCCATTTTAATTCATTAACAATTCTGAATCAATATTTTATAAACAATGGAAATTTAAAACAACCGGAAGAAACAATTAAACCATCTAAATAACTCCAACATGCTTTCTTAAACAAAAACTACCCAAGACTGGTGTCACAACTCCACAGACGGTCAAAGAATTCTACAAACAAGGTCCGAAAAAAAATAAATGCAACACTATTTCTGAACTACAAAAGTGAAACAGGAAGAAAAGATAGAGGGAGACACCAGGGCCTGCGGACGCTTGCGGAACTACCTTGGATCTCTGTACGGACTGAAGGCAGCCGCCCAAGCTAAGGTCCAAAAGCTGCTGCTCTAGGATCTGCACACAGTGCAGAGTGTAGTATTATCACAACCGACACCACGTGCTGGTAAGTGCCTAGCCTAACCTCGGCGAAGTAGTGACGAGGCTAGGACCAGACTAACAAATAAATCTGTGCAATTATATCATATACCGTGGAAAATAAAGCAGAAATGTACAGTTAAGAATAGGAGGGGGAAACATGATGCGGGGGAATATCATTTACCAACAATAACTCAGGAGAAAAAGCATAAAGAATGATTTAAAATTCACAGCCGAAAGAATAAGGAAACCGTAACAAAACAATAACCACTTTTATCCTTTAATGTTGCGGTGCGCAACCCGATCCAAATAATATATATAAACACTATTGCGGCGTGCAACCCGATTCAAATATAATATTGTTGCGGCGTGCAACCCGATCCAAATATAGTATTGTTGCGGCGTGCAACCCAATCCAAATATAGTATTGTTGCGGCGTGCAACCCGATCCAAATATAATATTGTTGCGGCATGCAACCCGATCCAAATATATTGTTCAACACCAATAACAAAAGAGTCCCAGCAAGGGAACAATAAGGAAACAACAATGCCCCGGCAAGGGAATCGACAGTAAGAAGTCAATACACCCCGGCAAGGGAATCAGCTATAACC